GGGGGGGGGCGTGTGCGTGTTCGCTTGCCGAGGGACGCTTGGGACATCTCTGTGGTGTTCGTGCGAGCGGTGTCACAAAATTGTTTTGTCCCATTTTTGCTGCCGATAAAAGAGTTGTAGCTTCACTTCCCCAGGCGCCAGCACCGGGGGCGAATAATGGCATGAAATATGCAACAAGTGGGGTGCTGCTAACCGTATCGGCGAGATGCGTGGGCTTGGGGGCACCGGTGTCTAACGTGCGGGGTCGGTGTGTTGGCGTGATTCCGTGTATTTCGTGACAGGCGGCACGTGCTGACGGAGGACGACGCCCGCCCGCTGCCGAACGTGGCCTTGTGGGACGTGACCAAGGCCCGGCAGGTGGAAGCCTACCCCCCCGGGACCGTGCTGGAGGACAAGGAGCGCTCCCTCCTCGAGATCATCGCGGTGCGGCCGTGGTTCACGGTGGACACGCACCTGGGCACCCCGCTCGTGTCCCTGTCGGAGAGCAACGTCTTCGACGGCGAGCTGTACGCCGTGGACGCCCGCGGGGAGCGGCAGACGCTCCTCGCGTCGCCGCCGCCGCCGCCGCCGTCGCCGTCGCCTTCGCCGCCGCCGGCGGCGGGGGACAACGGGGTGGCGACGGCGGAGCCTGCGACGGAGCCCAAGGTCTCCCGGCAGCCCGCACCGTCATCCTCCTCCTCGTTGTCTTCGGCCTTGCCGTCTGCGTCGCAAGGAAAGGGGGGGGCGGCTGTTGCGAAGACGACGCAAGGGGGGAACGCGGATGGAAGCGTGGAAGGTGGGGCGGTTGCAACAGCGTCGGCGAAACCGAAGGGTGCGGCAGCGGGAGCGGAGCCAGGGCCGGGGCCGGCAGCGGCGGCGGCGGTACGGGCACCGAAGGGCCGCTCTGTGCAGGACGAAGTTAAGGTGAACCTCGGGGACGCCGCCCTTCGCGGGCTGTTCTCGCGTTGGGTCGACCAGCACCTCCGGCTGCACGACGACGGGGGAAGGGGGGGAGGGGGGACTCTAGCGTCTTCGGCCTCTCGCCGTCGGGACACCGGCGGCGGCGGCGGTAGCGCGTACTCCTCGGGGTACTCCGAGGAGGACTCCGAGGGCGGTGATGACGACGACGATGACGACGAGAACGATTACGAGTCGAGATCGGCTTCCACCAGGTCCGCTCAGAGCTCACAGGCTTCTCCCGGCCCTAAGGACGGCAGCAGCGGGGGCGCGTACTACCCGCGCGGGTCGGGGGAGAGCAGCGGCGGCGCCGGCGGCGTCCGCGGAAGCCACGTGCTGGACTTTGACTCAGTCGGAGGGGGGGGAGCGGGGCGAGCGATAGGGGACGACACGATGCTGTGGGTGACAGAGATGGACCTCGGGGGACACGGGGGCATCCAGCGGACCCTGCTGCAGAAACGGGTCGGGGAGTTCGACGGGAGGGAGGGGCAGGACGCCATCCCGAACTGGGTGATGGCGTGCGTTCTGCACGGGGAGTTCCACACCAAGGAGCAGGACAAGATGGCGTTCTTTCTGGCCCCCTGGATACCGCCAGAGCGAGGCGGCGGCGGCGGCCTCTCTCTACCGTCCACCCCGCACCGGCAGCCGCAAGGGAAGCGAGGCGGAGGGGGGAGCAGCGGGGCGGCGGGGGACGCGAGGAAGCCCGCCTCGCTGGGGGGTTCGAGGGGAAGCAGAGCGGCTGGCACCGCCGCCGCTGCCGCCGGAGGGAAGGCCGGCGGGGGGGCTGCGGTAGGGGCGGGCGGCGTGCCCTCCAACCAGATGTCACAGAGGTTCACGGCTCCTGTGCAGATGCTCGTGTCGAAGGTGGGTTGATTTTTTGTTTATCCGTGTTCATGGGAGTAACTTGTGTTGCGCTCTCTGCGCCCTGAGAAGGATCTTGAGTTTGTGCTCGGGGTGAGGAGGGCCTGAGGCTGTTTCGCTTACAGGTGTCTCGCCTTTCCCGTCGGACCTTCTGATTTGTTTGGTTTTCATTTGTAGCGTTGTGTGGAGAAGCACTGCAGCGGTGGCTGACGTTCTGCTTGCTTTCCTCGGCCGCCTCGTCTCCCGCCCGCTGCTGCCCTTGGCAGCAGTTCGCGGCAACAAACGAGTGGTCTAAGCGAAGACAGCAGGTTGCCATGTGCAACACCTCACGAAGCAAGTTGTGTATTCAGCAGCGGGTGTGTCCACACAGAGACCTGAGTGACTGCCTGCCGCTGTCCTTTCGCTCTTTAGTTTTTCTCGCTCATGTTTCCCCCACTCCGGTTCTTCAGAAAGGTACAACCGGCCTTCCCCCTTATGATCGCCGTAACCATGACCAAACTTTAGTCCCGCACATACGCCGATGAAGAACCCCTCTCAAAGCCAAAACAGAGGAAGCACGAGAACCTCTGTAATCTGCCTATCGTGCCCCCCGCGCTCGTCGCTTAGGTCATGGCATATGTCCTCTCTCACGAAGACCTCCACCAGCACCTTGAGAGCACGGTGGTACACCCGGAGGGAGGAGATGGCACCGACGGCACCACGGGCGGCAACGGCAACGGCGGCGGCGGCGGCGGCGATGCAGCTGGAGGGGTGATGATGCGTCCTTCCCGAGAGACGCCGGAAGATTTGGTGGAGGTGCTCTGTGGCGAGCGAGTGCTGGAGCCACACCTGTATATTGGTGAGGTTTTGGGATGGGGCGGTGGGGTGGGGGTGAGGGAGTTCATGGGCCCGTGTAGCGATGGAGGTTCGGGGTGCAAGAGATTGTGACTAGAGGAAAGAGCGTTGCTGAGGAGGAGGGGAAGAGGTGGCGGTTGGTGGTGGAGGGGAAGTGAGCAGGTGCCGATGCTTGTCAGCATCTCAAGGCATTGGCGATGTTACTTTCGACACTGCTGTTGGCGTTTGAGTCTAGCCTCTTACAGCAGCAGCGCACGCGCATCTGACGCCTTGTCTTTATGTGTTGCCCCTGGGGAAATGTGGCTGAAAATATCATGCCCCGCACGCGCTCGGATTCCCACCCCACCTACTCACTCACCCGTCCACTCCCCTCCTGTGCTTTCCGTTTTTTGCGCTCGCCACGCTTGCGCTCGCCACGAACATAACACCCGCGGTATCGTCTTGTCCATCGATAGGCGCGGTCCAGAAGTATATTTGGGAGGCAACGGGGTCAGGCCCCACCCTCTTCTTGCACTACAGGTCCCGGAGGCGACCGCCGGGGGGCCCGTAGCGCAAACCACACAAGACGGTGCTAGCTTAGCATGGGATAGAGAGCGCGAGGGCAGGGGGTAGCAGGAGGGTTGAGTCGGTCGGTCGGCGGGAGAAGGAAAGACCTGCAACGATAAGCACGACGTAGTCACGCGGGGGAAGGAGCGTACGATGTTTATTTGGGCGTTGGCTGTTTTGGTGCGGTGTTTCTCTGGTGCGGACGGGAAGAGACGTGCAGTGCTGCGTGTATGAAGCCTGGAGCAAACACTGCTGTTTTCACAGGGCGGGCGGGGTCGATATCGCAAGGGAGCACTACTGCTACTTGGAGCGTGAACATAGGCAATCTCTGCTCAACGAGAAGAGGAAACGATGTTTTTGGTGATGGACTGTATGCCTACACAGTAGGTGGAGAAAAAATTTGTTCCCGGTACATGTACTTGAGTGTCGTGCAGGATAGTGGCTGCCTCGAGGGGTTACACCATAAAAATGAGGTAGAGGGAGGTTGTACCGCCGCCTGCCTATACAAGACGAATGGGTAAGTCTTTCTTCTCTCTGCGTGTGTAGGTATTTTGCCTTAGAACAATTTTGCTCCGGCGATTGTGTTGTCGGTTCGCCCGGGAACACCTGTAGTGTAACTGGCAACGATTCCTGGACTAAAGCATACAATCTGTCTTTCATATGCGACATGATACGGAGGTGGTGTTGAGTCTCATTCTTTCGGCAATCCGTCGGTGCCTGTTCTTCGGGTAATAGCTCCATAACAAAATAGGGCTCCCCTGCGATACATAGGGGTCCAACCAAAATATATATAGAGGTAATACGGGAATCGAGATCTTCAGGACTGGGTCGCTCACAGCGCAGCGGGGCGATTCGACCCCCTCTGAAAACAGGACGTTAACTTCGCGCCCTCATAGCGCGCGCCCAGACGCACGGCGAGACTCGCGCCTTCGCACGGTGGCACCTGGTGGCCTAGCGAACGGAATGACTCATTTCGCGCGGTCCCGATTGTGCCCGCTGAGTTGGGAATCACTGTCGTGAAAGCGCGCTGAAACCCGCAGAACCGACGTCTTTCGTCTTCCGTTCGCAAAAAAGGTGACAGTCCCGTTTTGCGGGGTTTTGGTAATTAGGTTGGTGTGTTGCCAGCAGGGAGAGAAAAAACACGAACACCCTCACTAGCCAGCACGTACTACCGTCTATCCACCTCTAGTGCGGTTTGTAGCAAGCGCAGTTTTCAAGTAGTAGGTCGATCACAGTTTCTGAGCAAGCTTAACGAAGCCGCCCAACGAAGCCGGGAGCGTGTAGCCCTCTCTGCTGCTGTGGGTTCTGGATCATTAGTTGGGTCAAAACTTCGCCCAAACTTCTGGAAGTAAAGATAGATTCGTTTTTGTCTCCTCACCACACCCGCGCCACGCTCACACGCGCACACTTCAACACAGCATCCGCTATCCTCCGAGTAGACATGAGTGCGCTATCGAAGGCTTCGCCTCTGAAACGCAAGCCAGTCGAGAGTAGTCAAATCTGATTTTTGTTTTGTTTTGAGTACTTCCTGCGAAGTCTTGGCGTCCCTATCTAATACATGCTGGTCCAGCCAAGAAACCAACTTGCGTTCGTCACGCCATGTTGTACATATTTTGTGTTCCTCCATCGGCCTCTGTCATGCGACAGTCACATCCTCCCCATCAATTACAACACTCCCGCACTTGGTATCCAGCCTCACCCACCATCCACAACACTTCCCTTCCACCATCACCTAGACACAGCAACCCAGAGGACGGGGGAGCCGATAGGCCCCTCACGTCCGGAGACCCTTGTAGACTATATTATTCGCGCGAAAAGCGAAAAGACGGGTCGGAGAGTGACATCAGAGCAAGCGTATGCAGATATGGATGGAGCCTACGCCACCACGTAGGTCCCCAGCGCGCACGCTCACGCCTCACTCGATACCACCAGTCAGGGGATGAATGCGAGCGCTGTTTAGCTCTCATCATCATCAGCTCTGCGGCAGCAGTACTGCTGCTGCCGCTGCAGCTGCTGCTGTTGCTGCTGCTGCTGCTGCTTTGCATGGGTGCGCACTTGCTTTGTTCGCTTTCGCCCCTAACAGAATGCAACGGGCTCTATAAATTGGCCCCCTGCCTCCCACGACGTGTGTATTTGACTGTCCGTGGCCTACAGCAGTGTGTAGGCCTCGTTTTCTCTCTCGTGGGGATGCGTCCATGCGGGAAGCTCCAAAGATGGGTAGCTTGAGGGTGATGCAGACGGACCGCGGATTGACTCGCGTCGTCACTCGCTTGTGCTGTCCACAGCAGGCAACGGGCTGCAAGAGTCATACCCAACGCCTCCCATGATGTGTGCCTTTGGTTGCCCTTAGCCTACAGCGGCCCGTATGCTGCTGTGCTGGTACCCTCGTATGTTTTCTACGTGATGTGGGTGGTGTAGCTGTGCAAGAGGATTCCGGTGATTCTGCCGACATCGTCGTCCCCATCGCCAAATCACAAATCACAATAATCTGTCTTGTGTCTCCCGAAATGACTTGTAAACTCGACGGATGATTGCCTAGAGAAGGGTATCTACCCGGCTCTATACCCCTCTAGAACATAGATAATTGTTGGAATTTCTTCCGTTTCGAACAAAAAAACTGCCCTATATGTGGATGCTCTGCCCAAATTATACGCAACTAATGCCGTGTAGCTGCAGCTCGAAGCATAGAGTAAACCGGCCAATTAACGAACGCTTAAGCCACCCCTCGCGCCAACAGCTCGTTCTCGGGCATGAAGAGGAGTATGATGTATTTGTGGGTACCGGACGATAGCTTGTATTATAGGCTACCTCCCTAAAAAAAAAAAAAAATCGTGTCAACGAGATAGAGCTGATGCAGTGCATTCCATTGTTTAGCTGAAAATGCAGGAAAACACCCCCCCCCCCAATTAACGAACACTTTAGCTTTGTAGCTGCTTTCGTGCGTTCTGAAGCGTTTCATGATCTGATTTTTTGTGGAGATACGTCTGTCGCAACATATATCCGTTTAGGAAAAAAAAAA